GGCAGAGAGACATTAAGATCGGAAGACCTACAGCCTAAAGCCATGAGAAAAGAGGAAGAGAGGCCGAGAAGGTCCCTCGGCAATCGCTGGCGAAGCGAGACGCAGGCGACGTCGCCCGCGCCGTCCCCGTCAGGCAAGAGAGCGCCGTCGTGAGAGGCCCCATTCATGCGCGCGGCCACGGCGTGACTAAGGCCTCGAGGTCGCCCGTTGTCTCTCGGGGGAGGCGTTGCTGGGGTCGGGCGCGGGGTCTGACCTTGGGGCAGGAGACACTCCAGCGGGGCTCGAGAACTTCTCCTCGAGAGAAATTCCTTCTCGTCTTTCATCCATTAAGATTGTGTGTCCGTGGAGGTTTACCTTGCAAAGTCTTCACAGGAGATAAAATTACGGCCCGCACACATACGCACGTAACTACACATACTCTCAATCCAATCACTCTATATCATTTTCCATTGAGCGGATAGATGCAGCCGCAACAACCAACCAAAGCCTTTTAAGCATCAACAAACAAACATACAAATACGAAACACTGCATTGCAAAACAGAAGACGTCACGCGCAACTTGGCCTCTGATTGGCTGAAACCGACTTCGCGGGCCCGTGACGTCACGCCTCAATCATCTCTCATCGTGAGACCTTCCTAACCTGAGACGACATGATCTTATGGCCGACATCACACGCTCACACGCTCTACAGTTACACTTCTCTCGGCCTTCGAACTGCTACGAGAACGAGGCATAAACGCAAACACAGTGACATGTGAAGAAAGACGAAATGAAACGGAACCACAATAAAAGCGGAACATATAAAACGTGACGTTTCGGACTAACTCCTCATAAGACGCTAATCCGAAATGGTTTTCCTGACTGGTGGCGTTTTTAATACGCAAGAGGTGTAAACTTGGTTAAACATATAACTTTTAAATTTTTTACACGGGCTCGCATCGTCTATAAATTGCACGACCATAATACAATTAACTTGGTTACAGCGCGACCTCCTTCGTCCTTTCCTACAACCCTTGCAATTTGCACCTTGTAAACCCAGACACACATGTAAACACACATACGTGCCTAAACCTGCTACCGAGATTGGCCCAGGCAGTCGGGCAGACACTGGAGAAACAGCCTGTGTGCACATATACATTTATAAACACACACATGTACATACATCCACCTTCTCGTGTGTCTCTGTCTCTCGCATTACTCATCCCTCTCCCTCTCCCTCCCCCTTTCTCTCTTTCTCTTCTTCTCTCCTCTCTCTCTCTCTCTTTCTCTTTCTCCTCTCTCTCTCTCTCTCTCTCTCTCTCTCTCTCTCTCTCTCTCTCTCTCTCTCTCTCTCTCTCTCTCTCTCTCTCTCTCTCTCTCTCTCTCTCTCTCTCTCTCTCTGCTTTCTTTCTTTCCCTCTCTCTCCTCTCTCTCCGCGGACGTGTCGTATAAGTAGTAAGTTCGCGTTAGTCCTAGCTTTTCATTCATCACAGAAGAGGCATGAGACACAACAAAACACTCCGCGTCGCATCCTTAATTCCCACCGTTAGTCTAAATCAGGAAATGCCCACCTATGCCCACCCTTACGGAAGCCAGGGTGGGTATGAGGGCAGGGGTATGAGAATGTGGGCGGGGGAGGGAGGGGAGGGAGGGCGAAGGGAGTAGAAGGCCGGCAGGGGAAGGATGGGGAGGATGGGCGGAAGAAGGGGAAAGAATGGGCGGGGGAAAGGATGGGGAGGATGGGCGGGGAGAGGAGAGAGAGGATGGGCGGGATAGGAAGGGGGAGATGCGATGATGATGATGATGCTACTTGCTCCTAACAAGGCGGCCCATTATCCTAATCGCCCAACTCAGAAGTAATCAACTCGATGAGACATTTGGTGATCGCTTATTCGTGTCAGTCAGCTGTTTACCAACGCAATTTATCCGACGAGACTTTTCGCTGAAATTACAATTAAAAAATAAAAGATCGAATTTCCCAAGATAAAAAATAAAAAATAAAAAGAAAGAAAAAGAAAAAGAAAGAAAGAGGAAGAGGAAGAGAAGAGAGAGAGAGAGAGAGAGAGAGAGGAGAGAGAGAGAGAGAGAGAGAGAGAGAGAGAGAGAGAGAGAGAGAGAGAGAGAGAGAGAGAGAGAGAGAGAGAGAGAGAGAGACAGAACCCAGTCGATTATAAAAAGCCTTCACCAGCAACAAATTCCTGGCGACCGTAATCTGGCCGCAACATCTCCATAAAACGCGTAAAAATCGACCTACGGGGGACGTTTACGAGCCAGGGCGAGGCGCGATACCCTGCGGCACCCGGAGGCACTTAATTGGCACCCTCGTTATGTCCCGCACCCTTACGAGCCCCGCGGTGTCTCGTGTTGCTCGCCCTCGCCCCCTCCCCTTCTCCCTTTCCTACCCCCCCCCCTGTGGAGTGTTGCTCGCCCTTGCCCCCTCCCCCCTTTCCCTTTCCTACCCCCCCCTGTGGAGTGTTGCTCGCCTTACCCCCCCCTGTGGAGTATTAGTTACCCAAACATTCCCGACAGTTACTCGGCGCTTAAACTAAATGACCCCCGACCTCGTCTGCAGCACGGAATGAACTCTGACCTCGGCTTGGAGTGACATTAGACTTTGGTTTCCGGTCAACGAAGACTTTTTTTCCCTTGAGAGTCTTTCCCTAACACCAATCTTGACCTTCAGCACCTTTGCCCGATATGAAAGGAGTCAAGAGCTGTAATTGGGATTGAAATAAGAGAAGAGAAGAAAATGAGAATAAAACAAGGAAAAGAAGGAGGAAGAAGAAATGACTAAAAAACAATCAACAGAAACAGAAAAGCAACACAGTATGATAATTAAAATGGCGAGAAAATAAGAAAAAAAACACGAAGAAACAACCAACAAATAGATGATACGGCGAAGGAAGACAGGGGGGGGGGGAAGAGGAGTAGGTGCCATTACGAAGAAAGGGAAACGGAGAAGAAAAAAAGAAGAAAAAAAGTGAAAAAACACAACTTCTCGACTAAACCCTAAACCGAAACCTCGACTCCACCCAAGGTCACACACACACACACACACACACACACACACACACACACACACACACACACACACACACACACACACACACACACACACACACACTCAAAAAAAAAAAAAAAAAAAAAAAATAAAAAATAAAAATTATATATATATATACATATATAGATCTATCTATCTATCTATATATATATATATATATATATATATATATATATATATATATATATATATATATATATATATATATATATATATATATATATATATATATAATAAAAAACGAAGAAGCCCGATCGCCCTGGAAGCATGGAAATCGCGCCCCACACAAAGCCGCGCGAAGGGGCTCGACAATGGCCCCACTATCTCCGCCCCTTGAAAGGGCCGCCTCTTTAAGGGCCGGTTACCGAGGCGTCCCCACAATGCCCCGCGAAGCAAATCCCCCCTAAGTGGCCTGGCACCGGCGGCTCACAATGATACATAAAATCACAAGCCCGACCGCGATCATTGTCCTCGCCTCCCGCCCACCTCCTGCGCCGCCCGCGATAAGGGCGTGCAGAACGACGCCCTTTGGTGGCTCTGCGGCGCCCGAGTCACCCGCAATTAACCCTCCTTCTCACCTTCCCCAAACTTCGAGTCCTGATACAGAGGCTCATATAACGGTTGTAACATCCGTGGAAAATTTCTGAAACATTGCAGCCGACCAATGTGAACACCGACTGAAATATGGGAGAAAGGAATAAAAAACGGAGAAAAAAAGGAGAGAAAACAAACCAAGAGAAAAAAAGCAAAAAAAATGAGCGTTCAAAATGCCAAAGAAGGTCAGATCAACGAGGTCTTTCGCTTCCCCCTCGCTCTCCTCTTTCAGAAAAAAGGTCCTTCGCGAAGTATTAAGAGTGAAAACAAACAACAGGCTCCGTCCGGCGAGGATTAGCCCATTCTTCTTTTACTTTCTCGGCCGTCGGTTGCGGCGGCGGGTGTTGGCCGCGCCCTTTCGGTCTGTCTGTCTGCCTGTCTGTCTGCCTCTCTCTCTCTGTCTGCCTCTGCCTATGCCTCTGCCTGCCTGCCTGCCTACCTTTCTCTCTTTCTTTCTCTCTCGCTCTTGCCCTTTCTTCTCTCTCTCTTTCTTTTCTCTCTCTCTCTCTCTTTCTCCTTTCCTCTCTTCTCTCTCTTTCTTGCCCTTTCCTCTCTCTCTCGCTCTATCTTGTCTTTCCCTCTCTTCCCTCTCTCTCTCTCTCTCTCTCTCTCTCTCCTCTCTCTCTCTCTCTCTCTCTCTCTCTCTCTCTCTCTCTCCTCTCTCTCTCTCTCTCTCTCCTCTCTCTCTTGCCCTTTTCCTCCCCCTCTCTCTTTCAACCGAGAACTTATGTGAGCGTAATGGCCCCGATGTTTGCTTACTATGTCAGGGAAGAGGCAATCCGTGTACATCCCGTAAGCCTCCCCTCTTTCTTATCTCCGCGATCCGTGTAGCAACATCTTACATCTTCTTGTGTGTACCTGAGCTTTCCCTTTAATTTTTTTTTCTCGTTTTTCTCTCTTTCTCTTTGTTTTGTCTTCTTTCTCTCTCTCTCCTCTCTCCTCTCTCTCTCTCTCTCTCTCTGTAAAAACTACTTCCGAAATAAACTCACACGCGAGTGCTGTAGAGTCGGCGCCCCCTCCGTACTCCCCATAGAAAACGTACTTCGGGACTCTTACTCAACGGAGAATCCCATTGCAAATACGCTCCCTTGTGCCAAAACTTGCAAATGCGAAAAAAAGTCACAGAAAAGTCCAAGCCATAACAGCTTGTTGGTTTATCTAGTCACACACATCAAAAACGCCAATGAAGGTCAATTTCATGTCTGCACACATGCCATTCGCTCTCTTAATGGTGATATCTAGACAAATACTACCAGAATCCGCGCTGAATATAAGTACCTTATTGACCAAAATAATGTAATGAAGCATCTCTGAATCACATCCCGGGTCATGGTCAACAGAGCCACCATCAGGAGGAACACTTACCAAAATATCCGCGAAAACGTCATCACACACGCGTTAACACTCACCTGAAAAGAGAAAGGAAAGAAAAACATTAGGAACAAGGTCAACACAAACATATAAAATGTCCATACATACTTGAAAAGATAAAATAAAAAGAGTTGTCCCCAAACGCAAGGCGGCCGAGGAGACAGCAGCCAGGTAACGCCATCTCCCGGCGACCACATAAAACACAGGCCGCGTCCATTGGGAAAATCTCTTGAAACTTTTCTTTACAGAATGTTTTCTCGCTGCGACGGCGTTGCAACGGCCGCCCACTTATCAAGTCCAAATCTGGCACGTTTAAGGAGGGGGAACGTAAACACAAGAACTATTCTTAATTATAGATACGTCTCCTCGTGGCGCCTTTGTGTTTGTTTACAGACGTGGACGCGCGAGTTTATCTCTTAAAATATATTGCCTTTTTACCTTTTATGCCATTAATTTCATCGGTTCATTTCCCCGCGTTTAGTGCGTTTAGAATCTTACGAACATTCTATACTTCGAAAAAACAACATCGTTCACTTATTGACCGGCGACGACACAAGCCTGCGAGCCATTTCCAGCCACCAGTCACAGCCTCTCCATTTCTTAAAAGAACCACGTGAATTTAGAGGCTTCTCTCTCTCTCTCTCTCTCTCTCTCTCTCTCTCTCTCTCTCTCTCTCTCTCTCTCTCTCTCTCTCTCTCTCTCTCTCTCTCTCTCTCTCTCTCTCTCTCTCTCTCTCTCTCTCTCTCCCTCTCCCTCTCTCTCTCTCTCCCTCTCCCTCTCTCCCTCTCTCCTCTCCCTCTCCCTCTCCCTTCCCCTCTCCCTCTCCTCTCCCTCTCTCCTCTCCCTCTCCCTCTCCTCTCCGGCAACATCACACGGCCCGAACGGAACCAACACAGATCTCTCGGCGTGAATAGCGTCTCCGGCCGCCCGAGTCACGGCGGATGGCGCTGGAAACATAAATCCCGCGTACATGTTAATTACAGGTACGGCCCTCGGCGCAACCTGCCTACTTAACAAATGGTGTTCCGCTCCTGTCCTGCTCCTGTGATGGGGTGGGGGTGGGGGTGGGGTGGGGGGGGCGCTAAGAAGAGAGGATTTATTACGTCATAGACACAGACACTCGCACATACACATGCGCGTGCACGAACTACATGGTTTAAAACACGGCCTCTCTCTCTTCACTCGAACATTCTACATATATATAATATGTATCAATGATCTTACAATTTTACAAGCCCTATGACAAGATATATAACCTACAATAAATCAAAATGACCTAGCCTCCCATGACCTTTTAACAGCTGGCCTTTTACCCCCCCCCCTAGTCCCCCGACAGCAACAAAGCCCGGCCAGACGAACTATCCACAGACGACCTAACCCCCACCCCCCACACCCCTGCCCCTACCCATACCCACACACGGCCAGCGAAAAAGCAGTCACGGTTGAGGGGCCAGCATGACCTACGCGAGGCTGTTGACCCATCCTAGCCCCTGACACCCTCCCCTCCCTTTCCCCTCCTGCCTCTCTCCCTTTCCCTTCCTTCCTTCTTCTCCCTCTCCCTTTCCCTCCTTCCTTACTCTCCCTTTCTCCTCCTACCTCTCTCCCATACCCTTCTTTTCCCCTCCTCCCATTCTCTCCTTTTCCCCCTCCCTTCTCTCTCTTCCCATGCTCCGTATTCTCACCTGTTCCTAACACCGTCGTTAAAACCACGCAAACGGACGCCCAGCCAAGCAACGACGACCCTCTGATCGCAATAATACACGCGGCCGAGTGGCATTCCAATCACAACAAAAAGTTCATGAGGACCTTGCGACACGAGAACACGGGACGGAGCTTGTGGCGGCGCAGACGGTCGTGACTCTCGGCCAGACAAAGCCGAGGAGGAGCGGGCAGGGTTCAGCAGGTGGCCCCGACAGACTAGGAGGTGGAAAGAGGAAGAAGATAAGGAATGGAAGAGGAAGATGATGAGGAGGAGGAGGTGGAGAAGAGGCAGAAGAAAAAAGAAGAAGGGGGAGAGGGAGGAGGAAGCCTTGCACAGGTCAGCCAGTCACGGTCCATAGCGCAACCTCTGACCTAACTCGTTGCAGTGATCGGTGGTTCTTACACACACACACAGGCAATATACACACGGTCAGAAAGAGATAGTGCAAACACAAGATAAAAATACAGCTTCACACCTGCTATCGCCATAACTAAAAATGTGTCCAATGACTTCATGGACAGCGCCTCACTCTCTCGCAATTCATGCAACAGCTAACCAACCAACTTCAAACACATCTTGCAGGGAAAGCTCTGGTCATTTCCTCTAAATTTTCCCTATTATCCTCCTCTCTTTTTTATCATTACCACAACCACACAATCTTAGAAACTTTCTCTTTTCCTACAAGTTACTTTTACTTTCCCTCCTCCTCCGCCGTCTCCAATATATTTTTTTTCTCCTTTTTTAAAGATTTAAGAGTCTCTCCTCTACAACCGCCGTGAATAACAAGCTCCTCTGTATCGGTAGGGACCAGAGCTAAGTGAACAAAACATCTGCCATAAAAATGATGCGGTTTTGTCGTCTAAGTCGCTCCAAGCTAGACGGTAAACATGACGTCACTACCTATCCTTCCCCCACCTCTCTCTACCCCCTACCCCTATGCCCCTAAAACCCTCCCTAACCGCCGTTTTGGAGAAAAAAGGTTAAAGACAGGAATAATAAAATAATAAGTATCATTTGCTATATGTTATGGTGAAAAAAACTTCAAGCTTGATTTCAAAACATAAATATCGTTCAGAGGGACTTACAAAAGGGGATACGTAAACAAGACAAATATACCTTGGGAAAATGGAATCCAAAAGAACAATAACAAAAAAATAAAAAGAAAAATTAGCACATTCGATAACCATGCCGTCACCTGACAAGCCTCAAGCAAGCAAACAAGCACACACAAGCAAACAAACGCACGCGAAAAAATTTGGCGGGAAAAAGAACCCCCTGCAGAGTCCGCCACGAGCCGCCATTATGGAACGCAACCTTGCATTTTCATCTTTTTATCTCTTTTCTTTATTCTCATGTTTATTCTTAATTCTTTTCACCTTTGGCTCCCGACATTTGTGAGGAGATTGGTTGTTCTGATGACATCTGCTGCAGCTGGGGTGACGGGAAAGGAGGAGAAATGATGAACAAAAAAGGAATGGGGAGGAGGAAGAGGAAACCAATATGGAAGAAGAGGAGGAGAAAGGATGAACAAAAAAGGATTGGGGAGGAGGAGGAGGAGAAGAACGGAGGGAAAGAGGAAACGAATGGGGAAAAGGAATAGGGAAAGGAGGAAGAGCAAATAAATAGGGAAGAGGAGGAGGAGAAAGGAGAAACAGAAAGTTTTTGTCTTTGTGGATGTAAAGTGTGTAGAAAATGAGGTAATGAGATAATGAGATACATATTAACAGGATGAAACTTTGAACATATTTAAGCGACCTAACACGAATGTCCAGAAAATATAGTAAACAAGAGAGAGTGAGAGAGAGAGAGAGAGAGAGAGAGAGAGAGAGAGAGAGAGAGAGAGAGAGAGAGAGAGAGAGAGAGAGAGAGAGAGAGAGAGAGAGAGAGAGAGAGAGGAGAAGGAGATGATGAGAAAAAAAAACAAACAGTGAAAGGAAAAGAGAAAGATCGGGCGCAGAGCGTGACCTTCAAGAGCACTTGGAGGTGTCGCCCCTCAATCACGTCGTCAAAACGCGAGACATCAGAGCAATCGGGCGCCAGCATTCTTGATTCCTGATCTCGACAAGCGCTCGAGATGCCAAGACAAACTCTGCGTGTGTGTGTGTGTGTGTGTGTGTGTGTGTGTGTGTGTGTGTGTGTGTGTGTGTGTGTGTGTGTGTGTGTGTGTGTGTGTGTGTGTGTGTGTGCGAGCGTCTATTCACAAAATCTATTAATCCTTGAGGCAAAAATTTGTTAATATAATATTTGTTGCAAAAGATTCTGGCCCAAGCGGAATCGCCCTCTTTAGATCGAATCATTCTGGTCATTAAACACAAACATGAAATAACAACCGCTTTTTGACCATGTTCATTCGCCGTTCTGGCAACCGGGCAATCTGTCCTCATGAAAGCAAGCAAAAAAGGGGTTGAACATCCAAACTCCGCCCCCTCTTCAGCGGATGCAAGGCCAGCGCCGCCATCATAATAAGCAATTTAGCTCGGACATGAAGCGCACAAAAGCAAACCACGTGTAACAATCGGCATAAATCGAGCAGGGCTAAGTGGAACAGACATAAATCTCGCTCGGCCACGAAAGCAGGCGGCGGCGAGGGGGACATTTCTCAGTCTGCACAATATTCTCGTTTTCTCACGCCCAGCAGGGGGGACGCGCCCAAACCAATTGGAGACATTCGCACACCTCTTTTTTGTTGTCACCCTTTTCACCCTTTCCCTGACCTTTGCTTTCACCCTCTTTTTTCCCCCTTTTTATACATAAATTCTTTTTTTTCCTTATAAATCCAAGGAAGCGACTGGGAAATGTTGGCTTTTCATCGTGTAAGTAACGGTAAGTATAGGCAGTCACATGAAATCGAGAAAAAAACTCAGTCTGTCTCATTTTTTTAAGCAACGGATCTTCTTGGTCTAGCTACAACGAGACTCTACACTGTCCTCACCCATGTCTAGAAATACACTCCCATCCCCCTGTCGGAAAAAAACGCGGGAAAAAACAAAAAACGGATCACCCTGCACTCTACGCACCAACTTCCAACAAACATTAATTCCTCGGCGCCGTGGCATCAACAACAGACCCAATCTTCTCCGATACCGCAAATCTTCAATAAAAAAGGGCAAAGAAAACACTCCACCGAACCCAATGAGAGGGAGACACTGTAAACACAATGAAGTTTACGATCCCGCGCTCCATGAACCGGGACTCGGAGCCTCGGAAACGGCTTCGACTCTGACGGAGAGGAATTTGAATTCTCTTGTCTGTTTTCTTTGGCTTTTTTTGTTTTGTTTGTTACTGCGCATTCTTGTCTTTTCTGTCTCCCTTGTTGTAC